TTTTGAACTTCCGACAGTTGGAATTCCGACCGACCTTCGAAATTGTTCGATCGGAATCCGAATGTTGGAATTCCCGATATCGGATTTTTCCGACCGACCATCAATCGGATGCCATCACCACTCAGTACCTTTGTGATCACTGAGTCAGTGAGGAATATCAAGTATTTATTAACGATGATAGTTTTCTTTGCTAATATCGTTAACTTCAAGCGGAAAGAAAGATGAAAAAATACAATTCCTGTATTACTGATGATAACAAAGAGGCAACGAGTTGTTGATTGAATAAAGGAATGAAATTACAAAGATGTTGTGCATTCGTATTATTCCATAGAATTTGAGATCAGCTTTGGCCTTGGAGCATTGATGAATTAAACCAAATCGAGTAATGATAAAAATGGCAATGAATACTCCTCGGTTTTGAGAGCATATTTCTTCCTTTGCAATTTGAATGCCACATTGCTGCCTAGTGGGCTCTTTAATTCACCGTACGAGAAGCACGATTTTTCTCACCTATTGTCACCTCTTTTACATCGACCACACAATTCACAACCAGTAGCGCATGTTATGCATACTCACATTCATCTTCACGCGCAATCCAGAGGAGCACGCCCACGGTGACAGTGCTTCACGAATGAGTGATTATATACATCAGTGCATTAAGAATCACGTGAATTACTTTGTGCTGTGGTCAAAAACGGCAATTCACTGAAGTGCATGTATATTTAACGATTGGACAAAAACATTTCTAAAAATTGGAATTATTTGTGAATGCAATATGCTGAAATCATTGTTCCTCTTTTTGTTAATTTTTTTCCAAAAATAATGAATAATTGCTTGCACAAAATGCAGAGATAACGCCAAAAATGAACTGATTGCATGAAATGCCTCAAGAATGTCTAAGATACGGTTGCCGATCGTGGCTATGATAAGGGTGGCACTCTCGTCAGAAATCGTCAACGTTTATGATCGACACAAATGAGTGTAGTGTGCAATCAATTATATTTGAAATGTCGCTGAAGGGATACTTGACCGTTATGTGTGTTATTGGTAGCTTGCGCTTGTCTCTGAATGCGATACCCATCGATAATGGAAACAAAGGTAAATCTGCGGACCAACCACAATTGGTGCTTCATTCAACACTCGTAATAATTTTTAGGACACGTCCACGGAAAGGATGAATCGGGCTGCATGCTTATGGCATTCGTTAAACCCTTTTATCTTGATAGAAACATTGCGACGCAGTATTCAACCATTCGATCGGAGAACGTTATTCGGAATATGGTCATTTGATATTTGATTGTATATGAGAACAAATGAAATGAAATGTTCAAAAAGACTGATATGTTCTTGAATCGTAAAAACCAAACCAATTCGCTATTCAAACAACTTCAATTGCAGACCATCATCGATGATCGCCCAATTAATTCTTTATCTGTGGATAGTCGTACGAACAGTGAAATTATGATACCAGATCGGATGAAAGCGGTGCGGAAGTTGCTAGTCTAATGCTACCTTTCAAATCTTGTGGTGTCTCATACAAAAGAGATATTTATCACAACAACGTTATTGTCATTTTTCATCCGCAATTTTCTTACCAAAGCTGATCGTGCATACACAATTCAGCGCCTCTGTAAGGTTGGAAATTTATTGTTATTGTGAACGTCATTCATTAGTCAAACTTTGTGTGACTTATGAAGTGATCAACGTTTGGCTTGAGCTTTCTTTCCATGGTTAATTTATTTTCAGACTGTATCAACAAGAATTTCAGTAGCCGATCTAACGACTTCTGAAATTGCTTCCCATACGATACCGATGCCAGTCTGCGGGTATGAGGTAAAAATCATTTCGTTTTTGTATGCAGTATTACAGAAATCCGTCAATATCAAAGAATAACTTATGTATATTTTTAGACAAGTCTTGTTATTTAAAAGCAACGGAACCACCAATCTCAACAGACACACAGTCATCGCTTCTACATTTATCGTTAGATAAACAAACCGAAGCTCTGATAATGGGGAGTACTTTTTGACTCTGCGCTGTAAAGGTGGCAAAAAATATTCACTGCGTTAATGACTGTTGTTTCTTCATTGAATTTAATGTTGCTTCGTGTTGAAAATTAACGGTTTTGCGTTTTACACCACACCAAATGCTGTTATTCTGGACAATTGATATAACTTCCAGATCCTCGACGATGATCCAGGAGTTCCAATATCCTATGCAGTTGCAGAAACACCATTTCATCATAATTGGATCTGTGACAATGAGACAAGTGAATTGCATTGAATATTGCTTGATTGCTTTGCAGATGCGTAAAGTAAACGCATTTCAGTTTTTGACTGCAAATGTCCCTGATGCGTATTTGACTGAATATCATGTTGCTTGAAACAATATTCACTGCGTTGATGACTGTTGTTTCTTCATTAATCTAATTCAGTTTCTGAAATGCATCCACTCTTTCATACCATCCTAATCGAAGATTATGTATCAATCAAGCTGAACAAATTAATTGTTTGTTCGAAGGAAACTTTAGAAAACAAGCACCATCTCACTCTAACTGTAGTACCATATTTGAGGGAAGTTTTTCGAATAACATTGATCTGCATTTATCTTTAACTTTAAAAGAATAAAACGTTGATCGAGAAGAGAATATCGCATCTAACGAGGCATTTACTGCTGCAAAATAGTTTTTGTATGCGCGTCCACTCTTATACAGTGGATGATGGAAAAAGTGAATCGGCAAAGATTCTAGTTATGCGATAGATGAGCATTTACTTATCAACTTGGAATATCCTACTGACCTTATGGCTGGCCAAGAGGCACATAACCAAAAATTTGCTGATCGTTCTCAACTCTTCTACAAATATTAGGTTCTTTTGCTTCTGGCATTACGAACATTTGTCTGTTGTTACATCATCAATATCCATCACTATGCTGATAACAACTGGAATATACTCTGTCATCGTATGGAATCGTATTGAGAAAAAGAATCGTTTAATGTTAATATGCTATGATATTCCGCTTTTAAACAGCTTTATTCTATTTTATCCTGTGCGCTATTTTTCGAGAACTGTTCTAATCTATACCACAGAATATAACAGGAATAAAGTAGCTTAACTGGAATGGAGACATCACTAACCATAACCAAACAGATAACAATCAGTTTTGATGAAAGAGCCTGGTATTGTCCCTCTTGTGAGTCGATTCGTCATCTCGCACTCGATACAACCTCGCAACCAATCGAAGCACTTCGTATTGAAATTTATCACCACAACAACTCATCCAGAAACATTTTTGCAAATTGTGTTCAATCTCATTTTTTAAAATATTCATAATGAATTATATTTCTATTTCACCAACGTCATCAGCTGCAGAATTCTCCTTGCATTAAGAAAAACTGAACAGACAATTAATATCCTCGGATAAAAACAAATAAAAGCCATACTGAAGCAACTTTTGTGAGTGTAATAACTAAGCAGATAACTTTTATGTGAGTAGGCATTGGTTGAATGCGGTAAGATCACTCTCATTAGTGCACAGCTATAGATCTGTATAAAGTGTTGCCGATTAGAGCAAACACTCTTGAAAGTTTTTATGATGAATTACGGATGTAGTGACATACTTCTTCTTGTATAAAACACTAGCCAAAATAATTGCAAACTTGTCCAGAATTATTCTTGTCTTGCAGGTTTTCTGACAATTTAGTTTCTGATGATGATTATGATCGTAGTTGTGACCGCACGCTCAATCTTGCAGTTAATATGACATTTCTGTTCACAGCTCAACAGATGCATTAACATCGATCCAAAATCATTGTTATGTTCCATTAAGGACCCGATGAAAATTGCCTCTCGACATTAATGTTTTTGACTTTTTTTCTGATTAGAACGAAACAATCTACTCACACACATGTGTGCAATATTATGCATATTGGATATCTATAATCACTGATCACTAACACGTTTTATCTCAATAATGAATTCTCTTCGATCGATTCGTTATTTGTAATTATTACCTTTTTGAACAGCCAAAGTAATTCAACGTTGCTATCCATTAATTCGCAATTGTTTCTGATAAGGAAATGTCATAAACCTACCCCTTCTGTGAGGTTTCATGATTATGTGAGGAATTTACTTTAAAGAAAATATTCCACACATTTCACGAATCGGTGCATGAATGATTTTGCGTTCTTTGCAAACACTTTTTACACTCCATTAACGCTCAAATAACCATTTTATAAAATGGCCACATGATCGATCACTGATTTCAAAAGCAGCATGCATCACACTTGCCGACTGATAGCTGTTGATATTGATAATAAGTATAATCACAAAGCAATTATAACAGCAATACTACTGACAACTACCGTTACCAACAACAACCAGTCAAGAAATGAATAAAATACATCATCAAATGACGCTTGGTTGAGCTCACTTCATAATCATACCGCACTAATGCATTTTATTGCTTGTCGCCATTCCGTTTGCTTCCAATCCGAATGGTGACACCTGTTAAACGGCTTGCTACGGTTGGAACTTTTATCGTTTCTTCTTTTGATTATTAAAAATATCACTATTACTGATTTTAAAAAATGATTGCGATTACTATTATTGTCAGTACTATTATTACTATCATTATTACTATTATTATTATCATTACTATTATTATTATTATTATTATTATTTATTATTATTATTACTATTTATTATTATTTAATATTATCATTTATTATTATTATTATTATTATTATCATTATTATTATTATTATTAGCATTATTATTACTATTATTATTATGACTGTTATTATTATTACTGTTATTATTATATCACTGTCACGACACCACCCGGAAGAATATTACTTCATATAAGGTGCCAGTAAATTGGTGAGAATCCGATTGTGGAACTTTTCGTTAATGGCCAACAAAAAATTGCATAAAATTGGTTGATTAGAGTTGCTGATTGATGTGAAGAGTTTTAACATCATTTGTTATATCGGCTATGCAATGCGTTATGGCAAGATCTACTTCTACGACCGAATGGGAAATCGTGTGAACGACACGCGTCAAGAGACGATCAAAGGTTTATGCGCGTTCATTGTAACAATTACAAGTTTTTGACACGTTTCATCCATCAACTCATAGATTGCTATAATGAAACGTCCCACCCAAGATCGCTTGATGAAGCATCAGAATGATTCCATCTAAGCGTTAATTGATGGCCCAGCAGGTTACAAGTTGTTTGGTGTTAAAGAGGCGCTTTATTAACTGACCTTTCTGAGAACTGTGAATGCTGATTTTCAATGATATTCGCAAGAATGAGGCTCGTTTCCTTTCAGGCTTCAACAGTTTCCATGCACCGGATTTTCGACCACCATCTGAAGACATAGCCACTAAAACATTCCTAACGAGACGAAACTATGGTTGGTATAAGATTTTTTTTCCAACTCTTAACTGTTTGCATGGAAACAAATCACTGATTCAACCAAAATTTCCAGTTAAATGGTCAATATTTCAATACAGTGCTTATAGGGGGAGAGGTATCGTAGTACTGCAGAGACATCGTTACTGATGAGCACTTTGCTAAATTAGCATCCTTCTTTTCCAGATCATGTCACAAATTATTCGATTTCTTTATTGCATTCAAGACACTGATTGTGAGTCCGTTTTAATTCGGCCAAAAATATTCGTGTATGTCAGCAATCACACATTCGAATAAAATATCGAACTGTTGAGAAGCAACAACACTTTTACACGACGTGCCTTTGCACGCCGGTTATTTGGGCCAACTTCTGAGTGTACATTTTCGAACTCTCTTCATAGGCTTTAGACTCCGTTCATGCAACCCTCCTCATCGCGGAAGTGCGTCCTATAACCACTGATGGTCGGTACCTGGACAATTCGCCTAAAGACGTTTCGCCTAATTGTAAGGACAGTTTGCCTAAGGGACGGTTTTTTAATATATTTTGCCTAATAGGCAAACTGTTTTTAGGCAAATTGCCCTTAGGCAAAACGTTTTTATGCAAAATGTCCGGTCATGTTGATGGTTAATGTTGCAGTTACGTCCGGTTCGCAAGCGATAAGAACAACATCATATGGCACACCCCCACAATTGAGTCATACCCGTGCACCGTTCCAGACACCACCGCCGGAAATTAATGAGCGTCATAGGCCTCTCGTTACATCTCCACCTCTCCGAGGAATATATCCCATTGAAAGTCCACCACCTGTCGACAATACACTGGAATCAGAACTGCTTCTTGCACATTTGGCACCCAAAAGTGATGAGTTGCCGCGTGGCGATCAAATCGGAGAACGCCTCACAGATGAATTTCCCGAAGACCCGATACTGCTCAATCGCGTCATCGAACCTGAGGTGACCTTTCTCAAATAAATTTCACGCTGAAAACAATATGTAAAGGAATGAATGCAGAGAATCGAGATGCGATTAAATACTACACAGATAATGAGCATTACTATTATTGATACCCGTCCTGCGCCAAAATTCCAGGTATTGTCGAAATATGATCATCTGTCAGGAAGAAAGTTCAACGAATTTTGCAATGATATCGATTCGGGAGCTATGAAATCGGTGAATTATTCAGTAGATGGAAGCCGTCAATATCCCCAAGAAGAAGATCAGTTATGTGACCGATGTAAGAATGAACAAAATCAGATGAATACAATGAATGCAGAAATTGAACGAATAAAACTTGAGAATACACAAATTCAACAACTAAATAACCAATGTGCATATGATATCACTGTCAAAGAGTCTGAATTCCATACGGTTTGTTATGTTGGCATTAAATTTCCAATCGATTATGTATATATCAGGGGAAGTTGTCAGAAACTTTAATAAGTTCGCTTCTAATCAATGACTTTTTTCGAGAAAAAAATATGGTAGAAATATAAGTGCACGAATTGAATACTCATAAAAAAGCTTAAAAGTCATCGAAAAACGATTATTCAAATGAATATATGATTATGATTTAATCACAGGAGGAAGAGCGTCGAAAAAAAGCACTTCAAGCACACATTGATGCAATCAATCGAGAATTAATGAATGAACATCAAACGCGTCAGCAGCCAACTTTTGTATGTTTTGATATCAGTTTCTGAAGTATAAACTGTGTGTTATCTGATTATAATTCTCAAATAGATTATTCATTGCCCATTCCGAATATGTGTGTCATTTTTACTTTGTACAAATGCAAAGTTTTGCGGAATTGCAGAACGAAACCTCAGTTTTGTTTGGTTACGATGAAGAGAGGAAGCCAAACAGAGATGATCAATTACGGTATAAAGAAGCACTGGATAATCAAATAGTGAGTGAACGGCGAAGAACGATAAAGGAACGAGACGAAGAAATTGATGAAGCGAACCGTTTCAATTTGGCTGCTGCGAACGAGTAAACGTTAAATTTGTTGGGTACAAAGTTGCTGTGATTTCACAGACACTTTGTTATTGAATGGCTGTAAGAGGAAAATTAAAACTTTTCAGCTTAGCAAAAGAAAGAGAATTCCGATTAGCCCAAGAAGGCCATGAGCGCGAACAACTGAAGAAGTTTCAAGAATTGCAAGTAAGGATCAATTTTAAAAAATTTCTATCCGTTGTTCCTCTACTTGTTTTCGGTTCGAATAGGAAGAAACATCGACGAAAAAGAAACGGATTCATCTTGTGTTCATATGCGAGTCCAGTCAGCGTGGAAAAAAAGCAGTCTTTACGCATTATATTGATCAAATCCATGATATATCCACATAGCAGTGCGTGAGTTGGGGAGGGGAGGAAGGAAGCATGATACGAACGAGTAAAAAGTATGTATCATTTTCGGATGTATTTGTAAAAAATTTTTTCATTTTACAGACACAGTTGAAGTCACAAAAACAGAATATTTCGGAGGAACCGTGGTGGGTTCGAAGACCAGATGAATACGGTTGGAGAGAGCGTAGATTACAAGCTCAAAATAATCAGTTAGAAAGAAACCATAGGCAACAGTCAGTCTTCGCATTACTACTTTCATTGTTTGTTCATCTTGCGTGTGTGATTAAGTTCAGAGTGATGTTCATTCCATGATTCATAAGATGATCAATATGACAGTGAGGCACTCTTTCAACAACAACATTAAGAGCGATACATGAATACTCATGCACTCATTCCAGACATGTTTCTTTAGTCCAGTGGTTCTCACACTCCGGTGCTCCATTACCCATTTTGATGATCTGGCATGCCGCCGTTGATCCCCCCCCCCCCCCCCCCCCCCTCCTGATACAAAANATTACAGTTTCTACATATAACGTCGGGAACAAAAGGAAAACTGGTCCGGAAATTCCTCAGTGACGTGAAAGAAATTAATTTTCTGAAATGAAACAAGTATTTATAGTACTCTATTTATCCATTGCAGAAACAATATGAATCTCGGCAATCAAAAACGAAAAGCGATGAAAAAAAAAACATTCTTCAGCGGAAAAAATGAAATTTAACAGCAAGTTGAGTTACTCATGAAGAAGGAAGAGGCAATAAACATTTGAGGATTATCTTTGAGTTGAACGGAAAAGGATCATTTCATCAAAGTGATGATTAATGAATAGGTAAAAATTCATCGAAGGTATGAAAATAAATTCGAACTATCAAACGTTTTTAGATGCGACAGATTATTAAGTCTGAAATTCCCATTCTACTTTTCAAGCATTTCAGTCATTAACTTCATAAGAAATGTTGTCGTTCATCACCGAACAAGTATTGTACCAGTTGAAAAAACATTCCTAAGCGATACAAGAATTAGAAATTGTGAAGATTGAAAAAAGAAATCGGTATCATCAAATTCAGAAATACTCGATCGTCCTACACCAAATCAATAATCTTTTCTGTCGTATCAAGAAGCTCAATCAATTCTTGAGAAGAGCGCTGCCATGAACTAATCGCATTTACATACTCCACTGAAAAAACACCATCACAATGGCATTCTATCGTAACATAACATATTATTTTTCCGACACCCTCCGTTACCTCCCACGAGACCCCCAAATTACACAAAATGGGTAATTTCAACCCTATGAGAACTACTGCTTCAGTCGCTGAGCTGTTTGTCCTGGTGGGTTACGGAGAACCGAGAATTTCGAGGACGTCATCCCGTTCTCGTCCTGGATATGTCCCAAGGCGACCACTTTTTCATGGTCTCCGACGGCCAATTTCGTCCCGAATTCTTTTACTCCCTACACATTAGTTTAATCGAAATTACTTACTTGTTTGATGCAGTAGGCATTAAACATGCACGAGAATGCATCGTTATTCAAAGTTTCATCATCACGTAATGCAGAAAATATCTGTGTGCGTGCTTATTCCAAATTTGAACTCGATAGGCCGGTAATTCTATTGCTGTTGCAGTTTAAGACAGGCCATTAGGCTATCATTATGCAACAAAACGAAAAAAAAATTCTCTGGTTGAAGGTTGAACAGTTACTTTTGAGTTTCTAGACTCGGCGACAGAGGTCTTTATGCATTCCTCCTGATTGAGAAAATCAGATCACTGTCCTTGTGCTATTATTTCTAGTGCAAAGACTATGTTTAACTGCTACAACAACATCAGAAACGACCTGATATAGTTCAGACTTTTACTTGGCATGCACATGAATAGAACTATTGTATAATCTTGCACGCTTATAAGACAAGGTGTCAAATCGAAAGGTATGTTAAGACAATATCATCGGAAGTCTTAGATTTGCCCACATACGATAGCTATAATGAATAGCATCTGTTTTCTTATTGTTAAAGCATGCAATACTTCTGATACGAAGGCATAACATACGGTTCAAACTAGATATTGCAAATGAACCTAGGACTTCAAGAAATCTTCCATGCTGAGCATTAAATTCTTTCGTCTCTTCAGAGAATCCCTTCAACGATTGGAGGACTTTAAGCGGCGTCTTGAACAACAAGATGAGCAGCTGAGAAGTGAGCATAAATTGAGATACGATGCGATTCGCGAGAAGATTCATGAGCAGAGTGCTTTGATCATGCAGCGTGCCGATCAAGCTAGAGGCACAATTAGACCAGTCAACAGAACTGTCGTTGATGCATGGAAACGTGAATGGGAACGTAATAATGAAAGGTATCATGTTGAGGTTAATTTGAAGAAAACGTTCGATGAAAATGAAACACTAATTGATAATTACGGAACTAAATTAGCAGTTGAGCATAAAAACCTTTGCAGATATCGAATTTTGCAACAAGGAAAAACGAAAGCACCATCATATATAGAGACGATTGGAATGAATCGTGTTAAACGTTGCCGTCGATGTTCACGTCCAATCGGCAATCTGTGATGAACATGGCCCATTTGCAGCAGATCCTCAGTCGATGCTGTTTGATCGACGTCTTTCATTTCATTTTCTTACAATTCTTGTGAATGAAAGCAATTTCTGCACCATCGCAGAAACTTTCAAGCAACTTTATCTCACTTCTGATATTACTTATACCACTACTTATTATCGTTGTTGGAAGCGCTCTACATAGTGAAAAATTAGGTTCTTCATGGCTTTGATTTAACAAAAACACTTATTATCATAAACACTCGAATCAGTGTGCATTAAGATAATATTTATTTGTATTCGAAAAAATAAGTTACTGAAAACGTAAATTCAGTCCATCGAAAGATGTCTTTTGATCTAGAAACGACCTGGACGAGAATGCACATCAAAAAATTAGTCTAGTAGGTCGCTAGGTCATATCGTTTTTTGCCTCAAACACTGTAATGCACAAATTTTGAAAATTTCCTGGTCTTAACCTCCAAAGTGGTGCTCTATTTACTGGAAAATTCACCGAAAACGTCTTCTGTGAAAATTCACCGAAAAAAGATTACACTGAAGGGTCGAGTTATCTAAATTTTCGTTTAGACGCCTCCGACAGAAAACAGTTTGACCGCCCAAAATCACTTTCACTCTTCACTTGTTTTGAAAAGAAAATTTCAAATAGTTTATTTTCGGGCCGAAATGGATCTCTCCGACCGATAACATCCTGGAAATTCCGAAGTCCGAAGGTCACCCCAGGAGGAAAAGCAACTTGATCCAGTGTTACTCAAACTAATTTTTTGAAGCCAAATTTCACAAAGGTTCGCCCTCAAACCGAAGGGCATCTTTTTGAACTACGAAAATTAGGAAATTATAGAACATGAGTAAAAAATTTCGCTATGATCAGTACTTCTTCCAATTTTCTGACGTTTCATAATTAATGATGTAACCGTAACGTGGCAAAAATATGACAAACGTTGGCCAGTCAGCCAGTTGCTTGGAAAATTTTGGCGCGAGGCAAAACTTGCTTGCTGTAGCACATCATAATTAAACGGATCATATGTGAATATTCAATTAGTGACAACTGAACAATTCTACTCATATGACTGTTATGCTGCTTATTATAATGAGCATACATTCTCATCGCTCATCACGACATGAGTGTATCCAAATTGTTCATATGAGCATAACTCAACGAACGATCAAATAATTTATTTCGTTTGCAAAACATATGAGCAAATTAATGTGACAAGAGCAACAATGATAATTACACTGCACAAAGGATCCAAAAAAAACAGCACTCTGCGAAAGGCATGAATTCGTAGTTCAGACTTAGTTTGAATTACGTGTTTCATTACCATTGATCTTAAGCACATTTCACAAATTCTACAACAAAAAAGAATAATCTTGGCGACTAGATAAACGGATAACTGATTTTTTCGACTTTCACACTAAGGTTTCTGATGGGCTAACCTACAACTCTTGAAACACATTTAACCGAGTGTACACAATTTCAAAGGGACTGCAGGTAGAAGAGAAAATATATGTAAACAAATCGTACTATACAATTATACAAACATTATCACATAGGAAACTAAAGAAAGAAGCCTCAAAAAATTAATTGAAAAGGATGACTGAAGAACAAAGTACTGCAATGAAAACGTCTTACCACAAAACTTATGAGCAATTGTCAAACATTTCTCACGCATTCGATATAGATCTTGTTTTAAACGCAACTAAAACACAATCAACAAAACCATTAACAACAAGGCATGATATTCGATATGCGTTATCTTTTTATCTAACTTTTCGACTTTCTATAATGGTCCATTTCACTCGGAATGACTGTAGATGAAGAATGCAACACAAAGCGAAGACTATCACTTTTGATTAACAGGGTATAACGAAAGGAAATGATACGAAAGATAAAATAATACACAGTACAGCACTTGCTTCAATGATACTTGACACAACAGATTTAGCGTTTGTCTATAGCAGTGTTTCTCATGCTTGGAAGCTCCATCACCCCTTTCGATGGTTTAACGGGTTGTTATTACTCCCCCCCCCCGCCTCCCCCCTCAACTACACTAAAAGAATTTACCACTTCCACGAATAACGTCACGAGCGAGTCGAAAACCGATCAGGAAATTCCTCAGTGGTGTGAAAGAAATTGGTTTTCCGGAATGAAACAAGTCTTTTTAGAACTTTATTCATCGATTGCAGAGAGAATATGAACCTCAATGATTAACAACGAAAAACAATAGAGAAAGAGCAAACGTCAGCGGTTTAAAAAAATTGAAATTTATCATCAAGTACATTTATACCCTCAATTACTCCCCTGACACCTCCAGATTACCTATCAGGAGGTAATTTACCCCCTGTCAGAAACACTGTTCTATAGCATCATGATGACTGAAACAGTAGGGAAATTTTATGACTACTTAAGTGGAAATTGTTTCCGTAAAGCATCTGACAATAACTAACAGAGTTAATCCGTTAGTGAAGTGAAAAAAGCCATAAAATCACAGCCTGATGATACGATCAGTTTGAAGATACTGTGAATTATGTACATTACGCAAAGCAGTGAGACAAGCCACTGAAACATCTACGTTAAGGAGAACATTTCATTTTCAGAACCCATCAAAAACATCAGCTAACGCAATTCAAATTAGAATAAACTGAGTTAATATCGTACTTCTGCGAGAGTTCAACTCGTATTGATGCCTTATGAGGTTTCCTATTCACCTCATTCTGTCGTATTTCTGCCAACAGAACTCCTTTATGAACATATTCACATCTTAAATGCCACTGATGATCGACAACCCATGATCAGCGTCGTCTTCATTGCGCTCAAAACACTAAACACTTCAAGCCCAATGTTGATCCATTATCATCAGACTGAATATTCTTCATGCAAGTATCTCGATTAGCACTTCAAAAAAGAACCGCAGAATAGTGAAGAGAGTTTCTTTGAAAGTGAATTTATAATCGTCCGTTTGCAGATCATCTCCGAATAATTCAATTAATTCCGGTGATACATTAAGATCGTCTTCAAATTCACCATCTTGTTTTTGCACCATCACAAGTAACATCTTGTAAGACGTTTCACTCTTCGATGGATGTCCATAAATCTAGTAAAGATTAACTGATGATCACTTATATTATCAAGCTACGATAAAACTTGCAAAAAATAACGAAAAATCAAGAATTTTCAACATACTAATGAGGCGTTTGTTAACTAAATAGAAATATGAACATTTATAGGCCAGAATTAAGAAGCAATCCATTTTATTTCATCAAGTAGTACTATGAAGATAAATGAACTGAAAATTGGAAGATATAAGAAGGATAAGCAGACAAAATGAATGAGTGATTGGAAAGTGAAGATTAAAAACGTATTGAGCATTTCCGACGAAAAGCATGGCTGAAAACGACCAAACGATGACATTTCATTCATTCAGAGAACGTGGATGCGATAGGTTGTGAAATGAAGATCATTTGATAATGCTATGATAACATATATACAATGAGAACACTGTTTTATATTGGTTCTGATGACGACTTACTTTAGAAGAAGCAAATGCTTTCTTAAACAGAAAATGCCAGACGTAACGAAACAAACCCCAAGATGTAAGGGTCGCTTAACCGATTGCGGCACATCAAGCACATCCAACCCACACGTCATCGACAGCATATCATGCTCATGCACTTTTATTCCAGGACGCTTCTAAATACAACACAACTTCTAGTCAACACATAGAACGAAACTTCAGTATAAAGTGCGCCCCAGAAAAAAAAAACCAACTCGTTGTCGCACTCAATAATAATGATAACAATGATGAGAATAATCATAATTTCAATAATAAGAGGTGGGAATGCAATTATAAACATTCGTGAAGGACCGATCAAAATATTAAAATAAATGGAATGGTAACTGAGATGACCAGCTATGCTTCGTCGAAAGCTATTGAATGAAGCGATTGCATAGATTGGCAAAAAGATTCTGATGTAGCAATCCTATAGATTCTTTTAAGCATTAATAACTATTTGAAAGCCACTCTTCAACTTAGCTGCAGAGCTTATTCAAATTAGCACACCGCATTTCGCTTACCGATGTTCCTAACTGGGTTTATCAACGCTCACATTCAATCTGCTTCAGAGAGTAAGGTTAGGAAATGAATCATTGAAATGAAATCAACACACACGGAAAACAATTCAAAATGAAATAGGTAATTACCCTTGTGTAAGAAAGATAAAGATCCGCATCACCAATAACTGATTCCAGAATTATCCTCAAACGTCCTTCCCACTTCAAGTCGAAATAGGACCAATTTGTTGCGGCTAATTCACCACGAATCATATACAAATTCACCTTCTAAACGAGAGCATGATTATTTCACAGATTCGTTAAATTTTTATTTCAATCGTCGACGATGAAAACTGTTTGCGGACTTCTTTACGACAAATTTAACTGAATGAATGAATTTTGCTTTTTCACTCATCACCAGTCAGTCTTTTATTTCCAATGAATAAAGCTCTGTAGAATTCAAAGAAACATGCATATTAAAATGCTTTCAGAGACAATGAAAAATTTCAAACTGACAATGGACAGAATACCTGACATATGATAAAAACATTGAAAACAAAAAAAATTAAAAACAACACTTCGATTCAGTGGCGCAGTTACGATTTTTTCCAACAGGCGGAAAGCATAAAATGGTCTGATTGAAAAAACTGTTTAATTTTGGGTTGAATTTTTTACGTCATTTTCCCTCCTTTCTCCCCCTTCCTTTTCCTGTCCCTCTTTTCTTCTTCTCTTCCTTTTTCTTCTACCGTCCACAGGGAGAATGTCCCCTCTCCCCTGTGCACACCTTCTCTACGATACTGAAAACCATACAACTACTGAAAATTTCTCAACAAAGTACCGTTATATACTAGCTGAAAAAGTTTTCAACCAACTATAAAAACAAGCCTTCTCATTATTCAGAACGAATTCACCGATGTTCGTCTCGTGCTCATTAAAGGCGTGAGTGAAGCTGAAGGCCAACAGAAGTGGCAGCAGGGCTGCCTTCATACCGTGATTTGAATCTGAAAAATATATTGGCAGTGAATCTGAAGCGTTTCAGTGCTTTGTAACGGAAACACTAGTTCCACCTCAAATCGCCCTTGCCACAAAAGAACGAACGATGCATACAGCTTAACGCTGAACCTAACCGTATGCTTTGACTTGAGCTTAGGCTTACAATCGAAACAGCCATACATACAAAAGGTGACAGTGATCTGAAGGATGGAAATGATGAACAAGTTCATTTCACTAACACTGACAAAAAAGTTCACTTCATTCAAAGTTCAAATTTCACTTCAAAGTTCAAAAAAGTTCAAATTTTTTGCACTTCATCATCAGAAATGATCGCATTAAAATCATTCGGTAGGTTCACGCTCTAACTGAATAAATCCTGATGAGGTCAACTGAATCCTTTGTTGCCTTCACTCACTTCATCTCACATCTAGCATTATGATGATGCAATATTTCATCAAACGAAACGTAGCGCTACTTGATCCAGTTTTTCATCCATTCACAGGAGGTAAATTTATCTGATATCTCATTCGTTCATCTAATAACCACGGAACTAACAGATAAGTTGACCATCTAGATAACGAACCCAACTTCAAAGACATCTTACCAACTTCATCTCGGGTGACCGACAAATGCCCCAGCGATAAGTGCAAGCACGACATTTGGCAAGCATGTAGTCGGTCACGCAAACTTCATTTTGTTTCGCTTTTTGAACAATACGAAAACGCTCAGCTTTAGCTTAAGCGTAGTCTCAGCCTTACGCTCAGGCTGAGGTTGAGGCTACGCTCAGGCTTAGGCTGAGGTTGAGCTTCGGCCTAAGCATCAGCCTAATGCGTATTATTGAGGCTTAGGCTGAGGTTAAGCCCCAGTAATATGCATTTTATACCTCACATACACAACATGGTGAGCATGCATTCGCACTGCTCAAAAACCGAACCGAAACGAAGTTTGTGTGACTTGTGAGTTTGTGTGAGTTCCGTCACTTGGCGAACTGTTACTCCTTTCATAATTGGCGAACTGTCAGCTCACCGAATGCTGTAGGAGGAATAATCGGTAGAGGCTCTGCTATCCTATGATTTCATCTTTCGTTTCTTCTTTGCTCTGTCCAACCTCAGGCGGAAGTGTGAGTCATGTCTTTACTCATCAGCGCTGGTTTGCGTCAGCAATAAGGCGGTCGACATCCTGAAAATAAATGTGGTCTCAGGAGGTTAAAGAGTAAAATGCCCCCGTTGTCAGAATTTTAGTTAAATTCAGTTAAGCTTAAATACAAACAGAAGCATCGACTATCTTAATCCAAGCTGTTGATGCTGGGACTCAGGGAGGTACTTCGAGTGCATATTTCACAAGCAGCCTTTAAAGTTTGCTTGAGCAAATTTGTTATCAAAAATATTTCTATTCCGTCGTTATTGCATTGCCTTGCTGCACAACTGGTGTCTTGCCTTATGTTCGTGAAATCCTCTTTGATTTGTATTCAGCACTCATTTACGTAGTATCTCAAATCTACTTGCCGTAATTCCCTCAACTTGTTAATTTTCAATTTCATCATGTGCTTTGAGTGAATTTGCAACATCAGATATTGAATGTTTGCGCTATTTTTTTCAATAAGTACGAAAATATGTCGTTTTGCTTGTTTGATGCTAGCAAACTGATGTGTTATTGTATTTGGATTTTGTACCCGAAAAATAGATTGATTCAGAGGGTACAAGATGATGCACGGTGGTGCTCCAATAATTGTGTTGAGTCAAGGTACGAAACGTGAAAGTGGTCATCAAGTACAGCTTGGTAATATAGCGGCTGCGAAGGTAGGTTATACGTTGTTCGTTCATCTTATTCCAAATGTTTATTTTAGGTTCAACAACGTTTGAGTAATATTACACAAAGTTCCAATGTCTAAATCGCGCTTTCTCTGATTTAATTTATTCGTAAGCATGTGAAACTTCAGAAAAACGAAGTGGTCGTTTTATTTATTATTGCACCTAATAAGAAAAGTTCAGTAACAGTTCCAGAGTTTTTGAAGAGCTGTTGTATTCCTATTGAAGTATACGAATTATGAAATGATTAGTCGAATCACTCAAACAATTGTTCAAATGATAACAATTTTCCATTGTTATTCTTTTTCTACGCTAATTTTTTTTCGGAGGTTCAGTGTTTGCACGTTCAACTTCCATCCATTCCTCAGTTATGTTAGCTTCCATTAGTATTGGTCTTCCATACTTTATTTTTTGCGGAAGACGGATTATTCCATCTAAGGCATAAAAAATAGTGCATTCTTCACCTTTTTCAGACCATCGCGGATGTCATTCGTACATGTTTGGGACCAAGGGCGATGCTCAAAATGCTGATGGATCCAATGGGAGGTTTGTTTTTTTCTTTTTCAGGACTATTTGTTATAATTACTGCTCTGCTTTTCTCGGTGTTGATTCATTAATTTGATGTCTGCCAAATTCGTATCTTATGTGTGGTCCTATCTGTTGTTATCAATCATCTTCAATTCGTCGTACAGTTCAGTTTTATTTGTGGTGAAACAATACAAATACAAGTAAACAATTATTCCGTCGCTGGAATTTAATGAAACTGTATTATTTTTATCGCGTTTTTTTTGCAGATAAATCTATTCTGCAGCTAGATGCTTTCAAAAAGTTAATAAAGCTAATGACTCCTGTCGTAATGAGTATTTCTAAAAACATTTTTCAAATTTCTGAACGTAAGAATATAGCTGGTGTATGTAATGGACACATTCTGGAGAAATAATTTGACAATCGTCAGCTCACAATAATTACGATTGGCAACAGTGACAATAGCAATCCACTCTAATTTCATGAATTTTTAAAAATTTTTCTATAAATAATTTTCTATGACAAGAATGAGATGCTTTAAGGAATTGTACTGACGAATGACGGTAATGCAATTCTTCGTGAGATAATTGTGAAGCATCCAGCAGCCAAATCGATGATCGAAATATCACGTACGCAAGATGAAGAAACTGGTGATGGAACTACGTCTGTAATTGTACTTGCTGGTGAAGTTATGGCACAAGCTCAGCCATTCCTTGATAACAATATGCATCCGACCATCATTATTCAGGTGCGTCAGTTCATCAACCTATTGCTCCCACCTCTTTGACAGAATCATCTCTTAAAAAGTACGAAATTAGGGTCACGTATGTAGTTCTCATCATGATTCTCATTCCGCATTGTTCGCTCACTAAACGAACACTACTTTTTGATTGCGAATCCTCGAATGACAATTTTTAAGTTGTTGCACCCCAAGTCGGTGACAGTATTCGTCGACACTGACAATATTTGATCTCGCAGTTCACATCCGAAGCCATGTAAAGAACTGAGTTGAACGATTTCTGTATATGCTTCATTTGAGGCCAAAATTGCGCTCTTTACGGTCACTCGTCATTCCAAAACTTGCGGTTGATGTGATTCGATGCTTGCAATCAGTCTTCACATCTGTCATCTATAATTCCTCTTTGTAGTAGATCCTTTTTTCAAACATTCACAGCGTTCATTCCACTGGGCATATCCGAAATGAAAGTGTGAAGTTATGGCGGAACTTGCTTCTGACTTTCAGGGTTATCGTATGGCGCTAGAAGATATGATCAAGCTAACCGAGGATAAGTTCAGGTCATTTCATTTCCGACTTGTAATCTTTTCATCAGTTTTCTCTTTCGCTTGAATTTAGAGCTATCTGCCACTCTCTACTTCTCGCAGTAACGGAATCAAGTTAAATTGATCTAAGTAGTGAAATGGTGGTGTGTTTGAACATGTGAAAATTGCTAGTTTATGGAAACGTAACTGTTTAACCTATGTTATAATGGTGATTTTCAGCAAATCAATAGATGTGAACAATGATGACGAGGTAGCAATGGTTGTTAAGTCATGTCTCGGTACGAAAATGCTTGCAAAATGGATGGATTTAGCCGTGAAGATAGCATTAAATGCAGTGAAGACGATCAGAGTAGAGAAGCACGGACACCAAGAAATCGACATCAAACGATACTGTAGAATTGAGAAGGTAATTTGTTGTTGTCGCTTGCTCTCTGCAGCTGATGAAGACAAACCAATTATTTCGATTAAATATTTGCTCATCTCAGTGTTTGTTTTGCTTTACTTTTCATTTATTCAGTTGTTTAGAAATAATTCAGTTAAACCACCTTTGAAAGTGTTTGACTGAACTTGATTGTTCTATCGATATAACATTTCATTTAACAAATTCTGTGATCCATAATTCAAAACCGATGATTATTTTCGTTTTAGATACCAGGTGGAACAATTGAGGATTGCCGTGTTGTGAAGGGAGTTGTTCTCAATAAAGATGTTACTCATGCAAAGATGTCACGTCACATTGAAAAACCACGAGTGATACTGCTTGATTGTAATTTGGAATATAAGAAGGGTGAGAGTCAAACGTCGCTTGAAATTATGAAGGAAGAAGATATAAGCAAAATTCTGGAGCAGGTATGTGTCTGATGTTCATTATTCACTAGTACTTGTCTTTCTCGAAATATACATCACTGATAGCTTTGTTGAGCTTACAATGAATTCTTTGGTGAGAAAATTTTTCACTGAACTCGACTGAATTTGCTTTGCGTTCGCTTATATGGAAGAACGACCCAAACTGATAAAATATAAATGAATAGGAAGAAGAGGCAATCCGTAAGATGTGCGACGACATTATTCGCTTGAAGCCGAACATAGTCTTCACCGAGAAAGGGATTTCTGATTTGGCACAACATTTCTTACTTAAAGCCGGTATTACCGCTATCAGACGTCTCAAGAAGACCGACAATAATAGATTGGCTAGGTATGCTTGGTATTCTTTCTTTTTCTGTTCTTGCTAGAATAAGTTTTTAACTGTTTTGCCTTCGTTAATATTGATTCAAAATTGAAAGACCTACATATATGTTTTTAATTTTGGTTTACGCAACTCTTGTGACGTTGTAATCATTTCTGATGAAGTGATGTTGGGTATTTGTCTGCTGTTAATGTGGAAAGGTTTGGTTTCTGAAATAAGTAAGCTTGATGTCGTTAGAGAACTAACTCTCATTGGATTGATCAGGAACTGATAAAATCGATGATCATTTCAGAGTGACGGGAGCGGCGATCGTCAACGATACACAAGATTTACGTGAGGAAGATGTGGGAACATTAGCAGATTTATTTGAAATAAAGAAGATCGGTGACGAATACTATACATTCGTTACATCCGAAAAAACGTCGGCGGTTACTGTTGTGCTGAGAGGACCGAGTAAGGTAATGAATATATTTCGTTTTTTTCGGCTTATTGAGTGCATCAGTCTGTCATTGTTTTGTTTTTATTATTATTTTCTTACACACAGCATAATTCTCATTGTTCACTGCTGGTTAATGCAAAGGCGAAACTGTTGGTAGACGGTCAGAGAAATCAATCGTTTTTATTGTTTGACTAAGCGTATCTGACAAATAATTATTACTCATCCTTAGCACTTTAGCGTATTTAGTTTAAACTGATGGCATTTTTGAGATTACTTGAATTCGGTTGAAATCCCCACTCCCCTCTTATTCTTTGGGTTAAGCTTTTGATTAATGGCTTCATGATTCTATCAAAAAATCGTCACGAAAGTAATCGATCATCGCTAATCTTTGAAAGAGCGAATGTGTTTTTAAGGATTTAATCAACGAGGTGGACCGAAATCTACAAGATGCATTGTGTGTTGTTCGTAATGTGTTCGTTAATCCAAAGCTTGTTCCTGGTGGTGGAGCCCTTGAGATGGCACTCGCTCATGTTCGTTCTCCTTTCTTCCTTTTACAGATGTTCTTGAATGGATCAAGTTCACAATCGATTATTCACTCGAAATCGTTTCTGGGATTGCAGGAATTGAATGAACGAGCAAAATCAATCGAAGGTATTCGCAAAATGCCGTATGTGGCGGTTTCAAATGCGCTTGAAGTTGTGCCACGAACGTTGATTCAAAACTGTGGTGGATCAACAATTCGTCAGTTAACTGCTTTAAGAGCCAAGCATGCACAATCGCCGAATAATTGGACATGGGGTATCGATGGATGTAGTGGAAAGATTGTACGTTTATTGTGATCGTCTCAATGAGCATTTATCCTAGTACTGTGTTAGCGTTATTAAGCAACAATGTTGCATTTGTTCAGAACAACCAAAATCGCGATTTAATGGCGGTGCTGACGTTTATCATTCAGTGAAGTGTTTGTTATGATAGATATAATATTTTAGATCGATATGAAAGAACTGAATATTTGGGATCCGATGTCAGTACGTTTACAAGTACTGAAAACAGCCATTGAAACGTCGGTGATGTTACTGCGTATTGATGATATTGTGTCAGGTACGAAGAAACGAGATGGTGGTGATGGACCAACTGCTGAAATGCCGCAGTAATTGACAACAACTCATTTGGTTGTGATGATATATATTTGGTGAAAAGAACTAATTCGTGTTGATTCATTTAATACATTTGTGTTATTAGCAACTCAGTACCGAATTGAGTCATACAGCATTTAGAGCAAATTATGAAACGTTACTTTCAGTTTTTTGCTGAATTTGGGTATGTTGATGAGTTATCATCAAACAAAAATAAGCTGTGCAATAAGATCTCTTCAAATATTGTGGTGAACATAAGTATGCATCGATCAGATAATGAACTTTAGAAGGTTTATGAGAGTAGTTGTTGAATGTATTGTTATGATACTACTCAATGATTGTTATCTTTTCATAATCGAAGGTTATTTTCTGTATCCACTTCATTATCATCACCTAGCCATAAAGCAGTTGAAACATGTGTTGCGCTTTAGTTAATTGCTTTATTAAAACTTTATATGTTCTTTTGCTTCAGTTCGCCTATTCATGTTACTTGTTCTTACCTTTTAACATTGAAGTAAATCGCAAATTTAGGATTCTTTAAAATCATAATTTTAGAAATTTTTATCCTTTACGATCGATGCAATGTTTCCGAAAAATATCATTTAAGTTCCCATTCTTTTCCAGTTTCACTTTCAGTTGTTTGAAAGTTGTGCTGATTCGTTCATTGCTTTCGGAATATGTGGTTCTGATATGGCGGTTTTTTGTATGTTATGATTGCATTGATGTCTTCAAAAAATGTTGAATGTTAAACGCATGTGCAATGTGAAAAGCTTAGAATTAATGCTTTTGTCATACATCATGGACTCATATTTTGACTGTACCAAATTGGTTAGAGTAAAAAGCTGATGGAAAATAGATGAGGTTAAAAAATTCGTACTTCTGAAAATGGGCATTTATTCTATTTCATTATGCATCATATTCAGTTGACAGATTTGACAGTGAAATGTTTGTCATATTTTGGCTTCGTCAAAATGTTGTTGAAAAGCGTGCATTTGTGTTTCGTTAGTTGTGACACTAGATCAGTCTGATTGAGCGAATTACCCTCGTTTTTTGGTTGTTTTTAAAGAAATTTATTGATTTGCAAAGCATTCTCTGCAACATTTCTTGTTGTTTGTTTCTGTTATGTTGCTTTTTCTTTAAAATAAAATTTGTTGTTTTTAATGCTCTGAAATGGATATATCCGAATAGTATTAAGAGTAACTAACAAAAATATTTTTTTCTATTACTGTCATTAACACTACTCGTATAGGCTATTAAACCAAATCATGGATGATTCATTGCGCGTTCTTTATGCATTCGTAAGCGCATCTCAAAACTAGTGTTTGTTGCATTGTGCGGAACACAAAAAGAGATAAGCAATGATATCATATCGTTTACACCAAATGTCAGTGGATTGCTACATGCACGTACCACAGTCACTCGTATGGTGATCACATATTTATTCAACAACAATGATTGTTCCGGCGATCAGTGTAAAGCAACACCTCCTATGAACATTTCTCATCAAAAATGCCATCCTTCACACATCTCCCACTGCTTTTCAGCGAATAATGTTCCAGCGAACTCCTCAGTCAAATCACGTTCATTTAATTACAGTTTTTGTATTGAACCATCGTACGTGTAAATATCTTTCATTATATCCTATTCGAATATAGATTCTAAACTGTCAGTTTTTCTCCAGTGTTTCATCGATGGATTCTTTTAGAAATGTTGTTTATTTAGAGGTGAAATTCAGCGAATAACATCTCTATTTAGAGGTGAAATTCAGCGAATAACATCTGTTTATCAGTAATGCAATAAATTCGTGCAAGAATGATGTTCGTCAGATGCGTACCTTGATATTTCCGTCCTTCATCTAAAGCGAAAAAAAGTTGTGTTATTTTGTTAAGAATATGGAAGCAGAGCGGCCTCGTAGGCCTAAGACAAAACCTAAATCAAAATCACGGAACGATGTTGCGTCGGTTGATACATCAACAGTACTGACGATGACGGAGCTGGAGAGGAGATTGGAAGAATTACCTACAGATTTCGATGAGATACCAACAACGTCCTCTGATGTACCCGATGCTGATCATATGGTCATCGAAGAAAAAGAACCAAAGTCAGAAAATACTGAATGTAATGATACTGCTGAATGCACATCAACAGCCACTCAACGAGACGTCAATGAACCACAAGCAAGAGAAGGAGATAACAATGAACAACGTGATGCTTCAAATGGCAAAAATATTGCAAAGGCGAAGTATGGAGTTTCATTCTTATTGTTTTTGATTTATTTTACTTACAAAAACTATTGTATTTTTTTGTTTATTTTATCATTTTCAATGGTGAATATGTCATCAGTTTGCGTCCTTCCAACATTTCTCGCAAGCTGACTGGATAAAATACAGTTGTTTTCATAGTCAGTTGACATGGCCAGATGATACTGTTTCAGCAAATGAATAAACTAACGATAGTATAAATTGAAACTTTGATTAATAACCAAATATCGTGTCGTTTTTGACATTCATTCATTTATCGTTTAGTCAAACCGAAACTATCACGAAGCCATTACCGGCTGAACGATCTGCGATTGCCACAAACGAGCACTCATCGGAACTCGATGAGTCATCGTCCAGTAAATGCGGTCATCGAACGGCTGTTGTACCCGAACTGTCCATGTTTCCATCTGCAAATACAGTCCATCAATCATCTTTTTCCAATAAAAACTTGTTGAAGTCAGTTTAAGTTGTTTTATAACTGCAATTTATCCACAACAATCTGTGATTCATCAAAAATAACGACATCACAAATCTCTCATGTGTTTCTTCATATTTCGTATGCAAATAATATCCTTGATTATATATATATATATATATATATATATATATATATATATATATATATAT